ACAGAACGAAAAGGAGAAACAAAACAAAACATAATCATAGTTGGTAACCTTAATACTCCATTGACAGCTCTGGATAAATAATCCAAACATAAAACCAATTTAAAAAAAACAGCCTTAAATGGCATACTAGACCAAATGGACATAATTGAAATTGACAGAACCTTTCATTTCAGAACATCAGGTTATACATTCTTCTGCAGTGCACATGGAACATACTCAAGGATAGATGATATGTTAGGTTACAAAACTAGCATCAACAAATTCAAGAAGATTGAAAATATACCAAGCATATTCTCTCACCACAATTTCTTGAAGTTACTATTCATCTGCAAAAAGGGAGTAAAGAGACCCACAAATATGTGGATATTAAACAACACGCCACACTAAAAAAATGACTGGACCAAAGAAGAAATGGAAGGTGAGATCAATGGACATACCAGTATAGAGACCAATGAGAATGACCATACAATATATCAAAACTTCTGGGATGCAGTGAAAGCAGTAATAAAGGGATGCTTATGTCATTACAAGCCTATCTCAAGAAATAAAATTCCAAGTACACAACTTAACATTGCATCCTAAAGTACTAGAAAAATAAGAACAAAAGTAAGCTAAAGTCAGCAGAAGGAAGGAAACGATGAATTAGAGCAGAATTAAATGAAATAGAAAATAAAAAGACTATATAAAAATTAATACAACAAAGAGCTGGTTCTTTGAAAAGATTAATAAAATTGGCAAACCCTTGACTAGACTCACTGAGGAAAAAAGAGAAAAGTCCCGTATAAACAAAATCAGAAATGAAAAAGAAATTACCACAGAGATCACATATATACAAAGGATCATACTAGAATTCTTTGAAAGACTATATGCCACCAGTCAGCATTCCCACCAGTAGTGAATGAGTGTTCCTTTTCTCCACATCCTCGCCAGCACTTGTCATTGTTGATGACTGCCATTCTGACAGGTGTGAAGTGGTACCTCATTTTGATTTTGATTTGCATCTCTTATTTATTTATTTTTTTAAATCAATCTTTATTGTTCATATTATTACAAAGGTTCCTCATTTCTTCCCCCCTCCACCAGGTTCCCACCCCACCCTCCGCCCCCTCCCCATCCCCCATTGTCCTCATCCATAGGTGCACAGTTTATGTTCAGTCTCTTCCTCCCTCCCTTTCCCCGATAGTAAATCCCTTTTCAGATAGTAAATCAGTTACTTAGCATTTTCTCATATCAATAATACCTCCACATGCCCAATGATTTGCATCTCTTAAATGATTAGTGATTCTGAGCATTTTTTCAGATGCCTCTTGCCCTTTTGTATGTCCACTTTCAAAAAGTGTCTATTTAGGTCCTTTGCCCATTTTTAATTGGATTGTTTATCTTCCTTTTGTTAAGTTATATGAGTTCCCTATAAATTTTGGAGATTAAACCCATATTGGATATAACATTGGCAAATATGTTCTCTCATGCAGTGGGTTCTCTTATTGTTTTGTTGATGCTTTCTTTTGCTGTGCAGAAGCTTTTTATTTTGATGTAGTCCCATTTGTTTATTTTCTCCTTAGTTTCCATTGTCCTGGGAATATATAACCTTTCTAGATTAAGTCATGAAGAATTGGAAAATAAATTGAAATATCCATCAAAAACCTCCCAACAAATAAAATTCCAGGGCCAGATGGCTTCACCAGTGAATATTATCAAATTTTCAAAGAAGATTTTTAAAACATATCTTTCTCAAAGTCTTCCAAAAAACTGAAGAAGAGAAAATACTTCCTAACACATTTTATGAGGCCAATATAACCCTGATACCAAAACCTGGCAAGAATTAACACAAAAAAGAAAGCTACAGGCCATTATCTCTGAGAAATATAGATTCAAAAATCCTAAACAAAATACTAGCAAATTGAATACATAAAAAAATACAACATGATCAGGTGAGATTCATTCCAGAGGCATAAAAATGGTTCCATATGTAAATTAATGAATTAATATTTCATATTACCAAAAGAAGGGAAAAGATCATATGTTATTATCAATAGATGCTGAAAACCCATTTGATAAGATATACATTTAAATTAAAACAAAATAAAATGGATATAGAAGTAAATAAACATATAATAAATAAATAATAAATACCATATATAACAAACCCTCAGTCAATATCATACTCAATGTTTAAAAACTGAAAGCTCTTTCTTTAAGATCAGGAAGAAGACAAGAATATCCATTCTCACCACTCTTTTACCCAACCTAGTCAGAGCGATATGCCAGAGAAATACTAAATAAAAGGCAGCCAAGTTGGTAATGAAGAAGTAAAAGTCTCAGTTTATGACATGTTTCTATTTATAGAAAAGCCTAAGAGCTCCACTAAAAAAATATTAGAAACAATAAACAAATACAGTGAAGTTGCAGGATATAAATTTAATGTACAAAAACCCATTTGCCATCATGTATACTAACAACAAAACTTCAGAAAAAGAAATGATGAAAATAATTCCTTTTGTAAATGCAAACAAAAGAATAGAATACTTAGAAATAAACTTAACAAAAGATGTGAAACACCTATATATTGCAAAGCATTATTAAAAGGGATTGAAAAAGACACAACAAAATGGAAAAAATGTTCCATGTTCATGGATTGAAAGAATCAGGATTATATTAAGAATCATTAATATAATGTTCATGGATTGAAAGAATATATAATGTTCTTAATATAATCAGGATTATATAAAGAACATTCTTTTTTTTTTTAATATATTTTTATTGATTTTGTACAGAGAGGAAGGGAGAGAGATAGAGAGTTAGAAACATCAATGAGAGAGAGTCATCGATCAGCTGCCTCTTGCACACCCCCTACTGGGGATGTGCCCGCAACCAAGGTACATGCCCTTGACCAGAATCGAACCCGGGACCCTTCAGTCCCCAAGCTGACGCTCTATCCATTGAGCCAAACCAGTCTTGGCAAGAACATTCTTTCAATGCATGAACATTATATTCAGGATTATAACATTATAATAATCAGGATTATATTAAGAACATTATATAATTGCCTAAGCCAGTTTGGCTCAGTGGATAAAGTGTCGGTCTGCAGACTGAGGGGTCACAGGTTCGATTCCGGTCAAGGGCATGTGCATTGGTTGCGGGCACATCCCCGGTGGGGGGTGTGCAGGAGGCATCTGGTCAATATTTCTCTCTCATTGATGTTTCTGGTTCTCTATTCCTCTCCCTTCCTCTCTGTAAAAAATCAATAAAATATACTTAAAAAAAGAACATTATATAATGTTCATGGATTGAAAGAATCAGAATTATATTAAATTTTAATATGGTCATATTACCCAAAGCAATATATAGATTTAATATAATCCCTATAAAAATCCCAACGTAGTTTTTAAAAGAAATAGAATGAGAAATCATCTGATTTATATGGAACCACAACAAACCCCAAATAGCCAAAGCAATCCTGAGAAAAAAGAACAAAGCTTGAGGTATCATGCTATCTGACTTCAAATTATACTACAGGGCTACAATGATCGAAACAGCATGGTATTGGCAGAGTAACAGACACACAGATCAATGGAAGAGAAGAGCCTAGCTCGGACATAATTTTCGACAAAAAAGCAGAAACACACAATGGAATAAACATAAGTCTCTTCAGTAAGTGGTGTTGGAAAAACTGGAAAGCCACATGCAAGTGAATGAAACTGGATTAAAGTTTGTGCCAAAATTAATTCAAAATGGACCAAAAACCTAACCAGAAACAATGTTATATAGAAGAAAACATAGGTATCAAATGTATACACCTTGGTCATAGAAAATATTTTTGAATTTGACTCCAAAGGCAAGAGAAGTAAAGGCAAATGGGACTATATCAAACTTAGACTGGTACAGCCCTATAGACAACAATCTGAGAGACCACAAAAAAACAAGAATAGCCTGGCTGGTGTTGCTCAGTGGTTGAGCATTGACCCATGAACACATATACCTACATATAGAAAAACAGACAAAAATATTTTTATCACAATGTATTTTTCTAGTCCAAAGAATTATAAATGCTATTTACCTATTGGAAAGAGGTACTGGATATATTTTTATTTATTTATTTTTTAAATATATATTTTATTGATTTTTCACAGAGAGGAAGGGAAAGGGATTGAGAGCTAGAAATGTCGATGAGAAACATCGACCAGCTGCATCCTGCACACTCCCCACTGGGGATGTGCCCACAACCAAGGTACATGCCCTTGACCGGAATCGAACCTGGGACCTTTCAGTCTGCAGGCCGATGCTCTATCCACTGAGCCAGACCGGTTTCGGCGGATATATTTTTAAATATATTTTATTGATTTTTTTACAGAGAAGAAGGGAGAGGGATAGAGAGCCAGAAACATCGATGAGAGAGAAACATCAATTAGCTGCCTCCTGTCCACCTTCCACTGGGGATGTGCCCACAACCAAGGTATATGCCCTTGACCAGAATCAAACCTGTGACCCTTCAGTCTGCAGGCTGATGCTCTATCCATTGAGCCAGATCAGTTAGAGCGGTACTGGATATTTTATTTGGTATACTGCATTTCTTTCCAATAGAATGTTAATGTCTACGAGATGTGGTTTAAGCACATAAAAAATTATTCCTTTGAAAATACAGATAATCACTTTGTAGAGGGCCAAATGGGAAGACACCTGGACATTCTGTAGATTGTTGCTGACTGGGCCCGGGATATTGGCAGAATCATGTCAGCTGCACTCCCGCCCTGGGAGTGTGGAGATGTTCTTAGTCCCTAACTAATGTGTTTGTTCAGGAGGAAGGAGTGGGTGGAACCTGGACTCTCCCAGGCTCCTTCTTTTCCTGTGAAACCTCTTGTTGGATTGGAGTATAAATAGATGTGCTGCATGGTTCAGGAGGTTGTCAGTCTGTCTCTCCAGCAGAGGAGGTCAGCAGCTTCTCCCTATTTCCATGTCTTCTCTCTTTATTTCTAATATTTCTCAATCCCTGGGCACCTCCACTTAGAACCGGTTCATTCATCTCTCTTTCCATGCAGGACATGGAAAAGGGAGATCCCTGCAGCTTCAGGCCCCCGCATTCTGGTGCCCAACGTGGGGCTGTGGGCCGAAAGAGGCAACAAGAGGTAAGGCAAGGGATCGCTCCCTACAATTGCGAGCCACAGATTAAAGGAACTGTAAGGTAGAGGGAGTGTATTGTTATGAAAGTGAATTAGCTGGGAGTAAAACATGGGTAATCCTTATAAATGCTTTAAACTACGCTCATGGCTCAAAGAGATTTTGTTAAGAGTAGTCAGATTCTTTATTTCTTTTTTTTTTTTTTTAAGTATATTTTATTGATTTTGTACAGAGAGGAAGGGAGATAGAGAGTTAGAAACATCGATGAGAGAGAGTCATCGATCAGCTGCCTCTTGCACACCCCCTACTGGGGATATGCCCGCAACCAAGGTACATGCCCTTGACCGGAATCGAACCCGGGACCCTTCAGTCCCCAAGCCGACGCTCTATCCATTGAGCCAAACCGGTCCCGGCTGATTCTTTATTTCTTTCTTAACGTTTGTTGATGAAACCTGGGAAAAGGTTAGTAGTGAAATATGGTAGTAATCATACTTGGGTAAAATCTACTGTTTAAATTTTAACCCTACTATTCTGACTTCGACCTTCACTTACTTGCTTTGTTCATCACGCAATGGGCTTAGGGAGGATGAGTTCAAGTTCTGAGCAAGGTTACACGCAGAACTTTCTTTTTCATTAAAGAGCCAGCCCTATGTACACTTAGTGGTTATCTCGATGCTGGCCTCGAAAACAATGCTGTTCTGTCCAATTAAAAAAAAATGCACCTGGCATGGTATTGAGACTGTGGGTATATCTGGTCTCTGGCCTGCAAGGTCAGACAGCTAAGTTTATCTTCATCATTCTTCAAACGGGCTAAAGCAAACTAGAAAGCAACATTTTATCTAGGAAGAACAGCAGAAAATTCCAAACAAGTTTGTTGTAGAATGGGGGTTTTCTTTCTCAGAACCTTTAAAAATAACTACCTGCCCCTAAAGCCTCGCAGTCGTTTGGAGTCCGCCTGCGTGTGGTACTCTTACAGCTGACCTGGCCAGTTCAATAAATCCTTGTTTGCTTTTTTAAAATAAATTATCAGCCTCCGGTGGTCTTATTTTGAACCCAGGTTTCGACCCCACAACATTTGGAGGCCCCAGCGAGATACCCGGAAGAGAGAAGAGAGGGACCCCCCAGGGGCAGGAGGCTCTCCCTCACAAGAGGAGAGAGGGACCTCCCGAAAGGGCAGGAGGTTGTCCTCCACAGGAGGCTCTCCCTTTCGCGAGAGGAGAGAGGGACCCCCCCAGAAGGGGCAGGAGGCTCTCCCTCCTTTCGGGGACCTTAGCCGGCGAAGCCGCAAGGATTTATTGAAATCAGGGAGACCAGTCTCATAAGGTAAGGTGCTCAGGTTATGGTTGAGATCTCAAAAGGGTAAGAGTCCTTGGAGGGCTGGAGGCAGCTTAACCTTCAGGCTCTGGCTGGAGGACACGACGGTGTCCTCGGCCTGGGAGGACACTATGGTGTCCTTGGCCCCAGGTGTCCGGAAGGGTTGTCTTGTGTTTTGTCATGTTTGTGTCAGGCCTATTTGTTTTGTGTTTTGTGTTTTGTGTTTTGGTTTCCGTCAAAATGGGTCAAGGTCTGTCGGTGTCTCCGTGTTCCCCTCTACAGTTTTTTGTTTTTGTTTTTTTAATTTCCAGGACTTCAAGAAACAGGTGAATGACTACGGCTCTGATGTTAATGCTTTTGATTTAACCACTCTTTTTCCCAGGTCAACGCCGGTCTGTAGGATAACTTTCCCCTCACAGTTCCTAGAGTATTGATCTTGTTTCCTTTGTCCAACATGAGTGCCATTTCTGTTTTGCTGAAACACTGTAATAGTACTTGTTTACTGAAAGGGTTTAAGTACAGACGTTTGTTTGATGTTTTATTTGTTTGCTTGGGTATAATTATTTATTCATATAAGTGTGAAAATCTATAAAAAAGAGAAAGAAACCTTTAATTTGTTTAAAGCTGAGTGCTCTGACGGCTAGCAAAACGCCCCGAGTGGCCACTGGGATTCCTTTTTCCCAGGGGTGCTTTGCTTTCTGTCAGAGGGGAATTGGCCCACCTAACAGGATTTATATGTTTATTAATTTGAAGGTATGAAATTGTAACAATTGTGGTACAAAAAGTTATAAGCAGAGACCAAATCTAAAGTTAACTATTTACAAGAAGGAAGCTTGATCTGGCAAAGTCGCCAAGTCTGCCCAGCAAGCTAAAAAAACTAAATGAATCTTATTTCTGCCACCACCCAGTCTTGATCAGTGGTAGAGGATCGTCTCAGAATTGTTTGTTTCAATTGATCAATTTAAGTTTGATGTGATTAATGATTACAGTACATTGTAAAATCTTTAAAAGAAAAGGAAAATATTTTGAGGGCAGCTTGGTCCTTATATGTGTATGTCAACTCTTAAGTTATAGATTTTAAAAAATATATATTTTATTGATTTTGTACAGAGAGGAAGAGAGAGAGTTAGAAACATCGATGAGAGAGAGTCATCGATCAGCCGCCTCTTGCACACCCCCTACTGGGGATATGCCTGCAACCAAGGTACATGCCCTTGACCGGAATCGAACCCGGGTCCCTTCAGTCCCCAAGCCGACGCTCTATCCATTGAGCCAAACCGGTCTCGGCTTAAGTTATAGTTTTAAAATCAGTAATATTAATAGAAACACACGTAGAGGAGCTTTTCAAAAAGTTCAGGGAGTCTGATTGCAGTGTAGAGGTCGCTGGTTCCCAATTGGCGGACTGCCAGATGAAAACGCCCTGGCGGGAGCACTTCTTTCACCACCTGGGACCCTCGTGTTCCCTGCCTCCGCCCACCTCCAGGGGCTGTTTAGAGTAGCTGCAGGTGGTGGTTTCGGTGAGGAGAGAAATTCCTTTGTGACCTCCTGCACCCCAATGAGACCCCAACCCCCTGGGTGACTGCTTGGACACTTTTCACCGTGTTCTGCTAGGGGGCTTAAAGGCACAGTTAGAAATTCTCCCATTCCCCTTTTCAGGCTTATCAGAATCTGAGATCCTTATCTGTAGGGAAAATGTGGCATTTTAAATTTCAAGCGGCTAGAGCCTGGGAACAGGGTGCTGAGCCTGCTCTCTCCTCCCTCTGCCTTTTCTAAATATTTTAAAATAATAAGATTTGAGGCATGGTTACACATTTTTGAAAAACATAGAAAAAAGGTTTAAAGACCAATGTAAAATAGTAAAAATTTTTATGGAGGTTATACATGTGATGAGGAGAATCAGGGAGAGAAGGAAACAGCAGAAGTAGAGGTCTAGAGAGGGAGAGAGGGAAAGAACAAGACAGAGACGGTCTGAAAGAAAGGGAGACTTAGACTCCAACGGTTTTTTAACTTAGAAAAAGAAGACTGACAGGACCGAAGCTCCTTTCAATTAAGCCCCCACGGGTAACCTTACAAGTAGAGGGCAAACCTATTAGTTTCCTGGTGGATACTGAGGCAGCCTATTCAGTCTTGACAGAACTGATGCACCTCTAAGAAGATATCAGTCCAGGGAGCCACCAGACAAACTGCCTGTTTTCCTTGGACATCAAGAAGGACTGCAGACCTAGGAAGGAACACGTACTGGGGGAATGCAGCCGCTGAACAGGACCAAAGTGGAACAATGGGCCTTTGAGGAGCTAAAGAAGGCTCTCGTCTCAGCACCTGCCCTAGCCTTGCCAAATGTCACAAAGCTCTTCCACCTCTACGTGAGTGAGGTAAGGGGCATTGCCAAAAGAGGTTCTCACTTAGACTCTAGGTCCCTGGAAGAGACCTGTTGTCTATCTGTCTAAGAGGCTAGACCCCGTGGCAGCAGGGTGGCCAGTGTGCCTCTGGGCAGTGGCCACCAGTGCATTGCTGGTGAAGGAGGCAGATAAGCAGACTCTGGGCCAGGAGCTAGCCCTGACAACACCCCATGCCGTTGAGGCCCTCCTTTGAGGTGCTCCAGAGAGATGGATATCAAACACCAGAATCACCCAGTGACAAACTCTTCTCCTAGACCAGCCCTGAGTCAGGTTCCATAAGACAATGGCCATCAACCCTGCCAGCATGCTTCCAGATGATCCAGAGGAATCCATTCATAACTATTGATACATATACGTAACAGACGCAGTACTGACAGATGTCCTGCCATCATCACCAGACGAGGTACTGTACACTGATGGGAGCATATTCAGGATGGGATCTGATATAAGGGGCAGCAGTAGTCACCCTGGACCACACCATTTGGGCACAGTTCCTGAACTTTTGGCCTTAATCCAGGCCCTTGGATGGGGACACAGTGCCATCCCCTGGGAAAGGTGGTTACCAACTCCAGCCAGAAAGGACATTATTTTAGCCTTATTTGAGGCCATCTGACTCCCAAAGGCAGTTGCAATAGTGCACTGCAAAAGACATCAGGAAGGGGAGACAATTGAAGCCAGAGGAAACAGAGACGCAGACCAAACTGCTAAGGAAGATGCCCCAAAACCAATGGGGCCTTTACAAGTCTTAGTAACCCTGCCGGACCCCCACCTCTACCAAACTAGAGGAGGAATTGGCTGAACAGAAGCAAGCCATTAAAGGACCAGATGGTTGGTGGACCCTACCAGATGACAGACTGTTGGTCTCAGAGGCTCTAGGTCAGACGTTAGTTGCCCAGTTACATCAGGTTACCCACTTCTCAATTTCTGTAAGGCAGATACTACCAAGCTTAGATAAGATAATTAAAAGCCTGATTGCTAGAGATACTGTCTATATACAAATAAATGCTGAGGTAGGAGGGTCTCCCTGGGAATTCGGGCCCCAGAAAAATTCCCCAGGGGAGCATTGGGAGGTAGATTTCGCAGAGATTAAGCCACCAGCATTGAGGTACAAGTACATGCTAGTTTTTATAGACACCTTCTCAGGTTAGGTTGAAGCATAGGACAGAAACTGCCTCTATAGTAGTCAAGAAATTACTCCAAGAAATTAAATTCAGATTCAGGCTGCTAGTAGTCATAGGATCAGATAACAGCCCAGCCTTTGTAGCAAGGTATGTCAAAGTATAGCTCAAGCCTTAGGACAGGCATGAGCAGAACTCTAAAAAGTTTAATTAAATTTGTCCTAGAAAACGGTAAAAACTGGACCAACCTCCTGCCCTTCGCCCTGTTATGGGCCAGATGTACCCCCTACTGGGATAGGTTTCCCCCCTTTTGAGACCTTTCTCCATCCTTCCCAGGGTCAGGGAGAAACTGAAAGCTGGAATTCATAACCATTCCCTTGCTCAAGTCCTTACAGGCTCTGCAGTTTATCCAGAGAGCCACCCATAAGCTTGTTCCAGATGCACTGCCAGTGCCCACCGTGGACCCTGTATACCCCTTCCAGCCCAGAGACTCTGTGTGGGTAAAGACATTCACTGCCCAAGGACTCACCCCAACCTGAAAGGGACGCTACACTCTTACCCTGAGCACGCCCACGGCTGTTGAAGTAGCGGGCACCCAGACCTGGCTACACCACTCCCAGCTCCTGCACAGAAAATGGCCTGGATCCTGGCAACCAGCGGCCTCACCAGTGAGATCCCTAGCCTGGGCTCCACACAGGCCAGGAGGAGACTTAATGCCTGCAAGAGGGGAATTGGACTTCAGTGAGGACAGTACTGATGGGAACTGTGTTACTAGGGGTTTTGGTAACTGTAAGAACTTTTTATTTTTCTTCTAGCAAGTGAGAAAGTCCAAGGCTAAGTAAAGCTAAATGTACGAGCAAAAATTAGATCAACAAATAGATCAGGAATTAAATAACCTAGATAAATCTATAGAAAAATTAGAAAAATCAGTCAGGTCCCTAGCAGAAGTAGTTTTGCAGAACAAAAGAGGCTTAGATCTGTTGTTCCTAAAGCAAGGGGGACTTTGCCTAGCTCTAGGAGAAACCTGCTGTTTCTACACCAATCATTCCGGGGTCATAAGGGAAAGCCTAAGTCAATTGAGAAAGAGGCTAGCTGACAGAGAGGAAGCTCGGAAGACTGCAGGAAACTGGTATGAGAACTAGTACTCGTGGTCCCTTTGGCTCACTACCCTACTAACTGCCATAGTAGGCCTACTATTACTATTACTATTACTATTACTATTACTATTACTGTTACTGTTACTATTACTTATAGACTTAATCTTTGGGCCATACCTCATAAAATGCTTGGTTAATTTTGTACAGGATAGATACAGGCAGTGAAACTAATGGTCTTGCATACTCAATATTCTCCACTAGTAGATACTAGTAATGAATCTAAGGTTTAGATTCATTCCCAAAAGACCAGTAGGGAATGAAATATGGTAGCAATCATACTTGGGTAAAACTACTGTTTGAATTTTAACCCTACTATTCTGACTTCGACCTTCACTTACTTGCTTTGTTCATTGCACAATGGGCTCAGGGAGGATGAGTTCAAGTTCTGGGCAAGGTTACAGGCAGAACTTTCTTTTTCATTAAAGAGCCAGCCCTATGTACACTTAGTGGTTATCTCGATGCTGGCCTCGAAAACAATGCTGTTCTGTCCAATTAAAAAAAATGTACCTGGCATGGTATTGAGACTGTGGGTATATCTGGTCTCTGGCCTGCAAGGTCAGACAGCTAAGTTTATCTTCATCATTCTTCAAATGGGCTAAAGCAAACTAGAAAGCAACGTTTTATCTAGGAAGAACAGCAGAAAATTCCAAACAAGTTTGTTGTAGAATGGGGGTTTTCCTTCTCAGAACCTTTAAAAATAACTACCTGCCCCTAAAGCCTCGCAGTCGTGTAGGGACTGCCCCGGCCAGTCAATAAATTCTTGTTTGCTTTTTAAAATAAATTATCAGCCTCCAGTGATCTTATTTTGAACCCAGGGTTCGACCCCACTACAGTCCAGAGAGAATTCCTATTCCTACTTTATTTTTTGATTCAGCACAGGAGAGGTTGAGAATGTTTAAGTGGGGTGCAGCCACAACCTTACAGCCTGGAGTGGAAGGGTGTGAATCTTTAAGAATACCATCTGCACCTCCTCCGCCTCCACGTGTAAACTACTTGTAACCAAGTAAAAAAGATTAAAGGAATTTCTTAGCAACTGCCAATAATTCTTTATCTTAAAATCTTTTTCTTTCCTTAAAAACAAAAATAAAATAAAAAAATTGAAAAAGTAATAAAATACAAAAACAATGGATAAACGACGCCATTCCCTAAAAAAGCCACTTTAAGAGGCCTCATATTCACCATCTTTTTTTCCAGCTAATGACTTAAAGCTTTTACGAATTCATAAATGCATTGGGGATTTCTGTGCACATGTAAGGGGAAAAGCTAGTTTAAAACGAGTGCGCATAGGTTTTGAGCTGGACTCAACTCTTTGCTGGGTACAGAATAAAAACCCGAGTGGTGGAGATGAATACAGGCTAGTTTCCCAAGGCATTTAAAGCAGCACTTGAGATTCCTGCCCAAAGGCAAGTAAACACCAGAAAGGAGATAGCAAGTTTACTGTGAATGGCTGAGAGTTTATCTCTTGACTTCCTCAGCAGAAAAATTGTGACCATTTTGAAAATCAAAGGCTGGGCCAGGGCTACTGGCTGGAAATTTAAAAGAATTTGGAAGTTACTAAATCAAATGATAAAAACTTAAATATAAATTTATTGAATTGTTATAATACTGAAATGTTGATCTAAGTATGCTTTGCATGAAGTCTAGAGAATTGAAGTTAGTCTATTAATTAAATATGCCTTATATTTTATTTGAAATGCATCTTTAAAAATGTAAAAGTATTATTGATTTGAGAAATGCTAAGTATTTGATTTTGCTACCTGAAAAAAATTTTTTAAAGTTCTGAAAGTTTAGTGTCTTTTTTTTTTTTTTTCCATGATCCCTGAAACAAATCAGTTTCACTAAAAGAAAGATGTTGACAGGAAGCCAGAAAGGCTGGTCAGCAACCTTAATTGTGCTAACCACTCTCCCAGTAAGTTAAGGAAGGTGGTGATTTGCATTGAATGGCTACAAACTTCCTCCAAACTCCTGTGACAAAATTTTTTTTTTTTTTGAAGTTGGCCATTAATTATATAAATAAAAAAGTAAAGTTTAAATTTGCCTCATCAAAAAATCTAGAGGACAGAAATGAAGCACTTAATTATGTCTTGTATTTTTCTTTTCTTTTTTTAAAATATATTTTTATTGATTTTGTACAGAGAGGAAGGGAGAGAGATAGAAAGTTAGAAACACCGATGAGAGAGAGTCATCGATCAGCTGCCTCTTGTACACCCCCCACTGGGGATATGCCCGCAACCAAGGTACATGCCCTTGACCGGAATCGAACCCAGGAGACCTTTCAGTCCCCAAGCCGACGCTCTATCCACTGAGCCAAACCGGTTTCGGCTGTCTTGTATTTTTCTTAGAAATGTAAAGTGTTATTAATCTAGGACATGCAAAATATATTTGACTGGCCAGCTTTAAAAGTTCAAAATGCAAATTAAATGGAGAGAAATTATATAGTTAAAAAGTATTTTCTCTTATATAATTAGGAATTCAAAATATGTTACTTGTTTGGTCTGATTTAAAAGAAAGAGGATTATTTCATTGATCCAAGTTAAATGTAATTTATATTCTCTAAGATAATTTAGGTATATAATCTTTAAATCATATATATATATATATATATATATATATATATATATATATATAGTATATTATATATTTGATCTTTCCAAGAGTATTTCAAGGTTTTTTAAGAATAACTTTTGCATGTTTCATGGGCCCCGAAATGTTCAAAAGTCTGTTCTCTCTTAAAAAAATATTTTTAATTAAACAGATTAATACTTGAAATCACAAGGAAAGTTTTATCAAATAAAAATTATATATTATATATTAAATGTTATGAAAGTTTTTGCCTATAAGAAAAGCAAAAACAATATATTTCTTAAATATAACCAAAATTTTCAACAGCAGTAGAAATTCAAAAAAGACAAAAAGGCCTCATGCAGCCTGCATTTTTGAATTGACTGTAGGTGGGACACTATTTATGCTTTTGGATCAGACCAATAAAGTATCAAACCTATAAGTTTTACTGAATAAGTTTCTTTGCCTTTTTTTTAAATTAAAAATATCTACTTAAATTACTTTATAAATTATCTTTTACGATATAATCAATGTCATATAAATTAAGTTACATGAGAAGCCAATGTTTTATAAGTAATTGAATCCTAACTTTATGTAGCTACCTGCATTTTTTAATTACGCTAGAGGCAGAGCAACATTTGTGGCTTGTGAATTCAGAAGTAAATTTGCTTTATTTTTAAAATGAATATACCTACTTTAATTACTTAAATAAATTAGATTATCAAATTATAATCAAGGTTTTCAGCTAAATAAAAAGCCAATAATTTTATAAACAATTCTAATAAAGACCAGAATCAGCTAGTAATTGCTTTATCAAATAAAAATTAATATGTTACTTATATACATATATTTCAAATTTTATGAAGGTTTTGGCCTCTTTATAAGGGCAAAACGAAGTAACTAAATATTTCTTCCAGTTTGAAATTGAATTATCATGGATTAAAGCAAAGAATATCCTTATATGATATTATTCTACAATATCATTATAATTTTGGTATTTCATAACAGCATATACCAAACTTACAAACTAATTTTTTGAATGTTTGGCAGCCATTTAAAAAGTACATGAAGGGATTTAGTCCCTTCCACTGTGTGAAAGGCCCCTTGAGAAGGCACTTAAGCATTCTATATTGGCCCTTCTTGCTCTTTTTGCCAAGTGGGACCCTCTTATCACAATCCAATTGCCCACAGCTGTTGCCTGAGTTTTCAGTTAATGCTGAGGTTGAAGCCTCGTGGTGGATGGTACCATGGATCTGTCTCTTGCCCAAGGGCATGAGCTGAGCCCTCCCTGGAGAAGAAATCCGGGTTCCCCAAAATATGTGATCAATGCCAGGGCCCCGCCAGCAGGCGAAGGGATCCCAAGGCAGGTGGTGGGCATGGAGGCCATAGGGGCATAGGCTACCAAGGAGACAGAACTGAACCTCACATCACCCTGTTTGGCCCCGGAGGATGGCTGGTTAGCCAATGACGGGTAAGATTCCTCACGGGAGGGACAACCTAAGACAGGTACAGCTGCAGGGGGCCATCAGGAGAGAACTTGGGGGTCAACAGAGGTGGGGCACAGATCCTCACCCCCCCCCCCCCAACGTTGCAGGGGCTTGAACATTCACCCCTTCTGAGGAAGGTCTCCTGCCCCATGGCTGCTTTGCACTTCCCATGCCCAGCTCAGATTGGACCCAGGCAACAAACAGAGACTTGTCCAGCTCAGATTGAGACCCAGGCAACAGAGAAGTGGCTGATGGCAGCTGCCCTATATCTAAGTCTAGCCTAAATACAAGAATACTTAGAGCTTTCTCAAGGATGCATATAATCCTTTTCATTAACATTTGCAGGGTAAACTAAGATTGTTGTTAAAGTATTAAATTTGACAGTAAAATAGTCAAGTTTTCAGATTAATTTAAATTGGCTAACTGAAATAAATATAAGTGTTAACTAAAATTTCTATTGGTAGTTCATTTCATGATAAAATTACTTAACATGCAATTAACCCTAAAGCAGTCATATTTTTTTTGCAAAAAAGGGTAAAATTATCAAAACTGTGTTATAAAAATTTCCCAAAAGCATCCTAATAATTAAATAAAAAAGGGGGGATAGTGGAAAAATATTATGTAAGGAAATATATTCAGAAAATTTTTTCTTTAAAAAACTGACAGCAGAAAAAACACACATGATGTCAGAATAAGGCAAAGGAAAATCGTTTGGGCAAAAAATAAAAAGGATCCCAAGTCTAATTTATAGGAAAGGTTTCTTTATTAACCTTTGGTTGAGAATATGCTTATATTTCCAGAAAAACTCCAAGGCTGTATGGATTCCTGCAACAACGGATCCCAGAGAGGACCTGATAGGGCTGTTCCAGCCATAGAATAAGTAGGAGCTCACAAGAACAGAGGAGAAATAGTCCAGAAATAAAGATAGTGAAGATGCCTTGCCATGATAGCAGTCAGCACCTGTGCATTGCTGCAGGTTCCCCAGGACCAAAGGCAAGGAAGGACTGAGAGTTGCCCTTTGACAGCAAAGCAGAAGGAGAAGAAAACTGAAAGCTACACAAGGGACTGTGGTGCCAACATAGAATAATTTGAAGAAGTTAAAGACTGAAGTGGAAGCTACTTCTTCAACCATGTATCTGCTCATGCTAGCATGAGTAACTTCCATGCTTCTGCAAAGTCTTGCACAGCCAAGACCAGGGACTATGAGTAAATATACACCACCAGCAAAAGAGATTTTCTTTCATTTGGTAGCTAAAAATGTTAATATGTCCATAGTTCTGATTTATCATATTGTTGTTTTGCATTGACATTGTTTTGTTTTGTTATAATAGCCAGAATTTTTGCTCTTGACATTCAAGTTTTGAAAATGATAACATGTATATAGTTTAGTTTTGCATTGGCATTATTTGCAATTGTTTTAATCTAGAGTTTTATTCTTTTTTTATTTTAAAAAAATATATTTTATTGATTTTTTACAGAGAGGAAGAGAGAGAGATAGAGAGCTAGAAACGTCGATGAGAGAGAAACATCGACCAGCTGCCTCTTGCACACCCCCTACCGGGGATATGCCGGCAACCAAGGTATATGCCCTTGACCGGAATCGAACCAGGGGCCCTTCAGTCCGCAGACCGATGCTCTACCACTGAGCCAAACCGGTTTCGGCTAGAGTTTTATTCTTAATGTTTAAATTTTAAAAAAAGGAAGGGTGAGACGTAGAAGGCCAAATGGGAAGACACCTGGACATTCTTTAGATTGTTGTGGACTGGCCCGGGATATTGGCAGAATCATGTCAGTTGCACTCCCACCCTGGGAGTGCAGAGATGTTCTTAGTCCCTGACTAATGTGTTTGTTCAGGAGGAAGGAGTGGGTGGAACCTGGGCTCTCCCAGGCTCCTTGTTTTCCTGTGAAACCCCTTGTTGGATTGAAGTGTAAATAGATGTGCTGCGTGGCTCAGGAGGTTGTCAGTCTGTCTCTCCAGCAGAAGAGATCAGCGGCCCTCCCAGCTTCCAGCTTGAAATCTATTTCTATGTCTTCTCTCTTTATTTCTAACATTTCTCAATCCCTGGGCACCTCCACTTAGAACCGGTTCATTCATCTCTCTTTCCATGTGGGACATGGAAAAGGGAGATCCCTGCAGCTTCAGGCCCCCGCATCACTTAAAAAAAAAAATTAGTATTTTTACATCAAGAAAAAAACATGATAACCAAATTACATTTCTTTGATGTTTTCATGCTATGTTCAATAAGACACTATATAATATCTTTTTTAAAACAAATATTTATTGTTCAGATTAATACAAAGGTTCCTCTCCTCCCCACCCCCCAATTGCTCCCCTTCACCAGGTTCCCACCCCACCATCAGCCCCTTCCCCACCCCCATTGTACTCATCCATAGGTGCACAGTTTTTGATCAGTCTCTTCCCACACCCCCACTCCCCTTTTCCCTGAGAATCGTCAGTCCACTCCCCTTCCATACCTCTGATTCTATTATATTCACCAGTTGATATTGTTCATCAGATTTTTTAATTCCCTTGGTTTTTAGATTCACTTGTTGATAGTTACGTATTTGTTGTTCATAATTTTTATCTTTATCTTCTTCCTCTTCCTAAAGAACCCCCTTCAGCAATTCATATAATTCTGTTTTGGCGGTGATGAACTTTAGCTTTTTTTTTTTAATTTGTGAAGCTCTTTATCTGGCCTTCAATTCTGAGTGATAGCTTTGCTGGGTAGAGTATTTTTGGCTGTAGGTTCTTGCTATTCATCACCTTGAATATTTCTTGCCATTCCTGTCTGGCCTGCATGGTTTCTGTTTAGAAATCAGCTGACAATCGTATGAGTCCTCCTTTATAGGTAACTACCTGATTTCTCTTGCTGCTTTTAATATTCTCTCTTTGTCTTTTGCTCTTGGAATTTTATTTTTTTTTATTTTATTTTAATTTTAAATATATATTTTATTGATTTTTTTTTTTTTTTTTTTTTTTTTTTTACAGAGAGGAAGGGAGAGGGATAAAGAGTTAGAAACATCGATGAGAGAGAAACATCAATAAGCTGCCTCCTGTACATCCCCCACTGGGGATGTGCCCACAACCAAGGTACATGCCCTTGACCAGAATCGAACTCAGGACCCTTCATTCCGCAGGCTGGTGCTCTATCCACTGAGCCAAACTGGTTTTGGCTGCTCTCGGGATTTTAATTATGATGTGTCTTGGTGTGGTCCTCTTTGGATTCCTTTTGTTAGGGGTTCTGTGCGCTTCCTGGACTTGTAAGTCTATTTCTTTCACTAGGTGGGGGAAGTTTTCTGTCACTATTTCTTCCAATATGTTTTCAGTATCTTGCTTTCTCTCTTCTTCTGGGACCCCCATAATTCTGATGTTGGTTTGCTTGAAATTGTCCAGAGGTTTCTTACACTATCTTCAACTTTCTGGATTCTCTTATCTTCTTGCTTCTGCAGAAGAGTGTCCTCTGGCTCTTTGTGTTTCAAATCTTTGTCTTGATTCCTGTTTTTAGGACTCTGTATAATATTTTTTATTTCAGACAATGTTTTCTTTGTTTCTAGTTGATTCCTTTTTATTTCTAGTTGATCCCTTTTCATATCCTCATAGGTCTCATTTATTTTACCGGTCTTTTTTAGGAAATCTTTGAAAAACCTTATAACTGTAGTTTTGAACTCAATGTCCATTTTTTATTTTCCTCCATCTCCTTCCTTTGTGTCCTGCCTCTTGTCTGCATTTTAGCTGCCTCCTTGATTTGATGGAATAGTTTTGTGTGCTAAGTGCTCTGGTAGAGCCCAGTAGCATAGCCTTCTAGTTACCTGAGGTGGACAGTCTTGGTGTAGCCCTTTGTGGGCTGTGTGTGCAATCTTGTTGTTAAGACTTGCTTTTTGTTGGTATCACTGGGAAGCGTTGATCTCCAAGCCAATTGGCTGGGAAGACCAGCAGTGTCTCAGCTAGGAGGGCTTCTGTACTCCGCTTGGATGGGGCGGAGTTTTTGGATGGTGCAGACAAGCTTTGGTTCCTTGTCAGTCATGCCTAAGGAAAGTCCTATTTGCGGTGAGTCCCGCAAGACTGGTTGCAGGCACTCACACTTCTTTGGTATAGGTGCAGACAAGCTTTGGATTCCCGCCAGTCCCTCCTTAGAAAGGTCCTATTTACAGGGAACGAGAAAGCCAGCCTCCGGGAGGGCTTCTGGGCTCTGCTTGGATGGGGCAGAGTCTCGGGGTGGTGCAGATAAGTTTTGGTTTCCCGTCAGCCCCTTCTTACGAGGGTCCGGTTCCTGAGTCCTACAGTAATGGCCGCTGGCTTCACATACCTCCGAGAGATCTCTGCCCACTGCCTGCCAGTCCGGCCTCTCCCTGACTGGGGCAGTCTATCAGAGCAATAGGGTAGTTCTGATTTCCTCCCAAACAAGAAAGCCAGCCACACGCTAGCTGACTGCCCTTTCTGCGCGCCAGGAGTAAGTCAGCAGCGAACTCGGGCAGCTGCCTTTTTGCCCGCACAGTTCCCTGCACCTTCACAGTTCCTGAGGCTCAGTGTGCCTTCTCTCTCCTTCCCAGATGGTAGAGCCTCCTCTCAGCCAGCCGTCCAGCGCTTCAGGGTGATGTTTTCCAGTTCTAAACTCAAAATTGTTGTGGTAGGCTGCATTTAGGTGTCTACCCTATGCTGCCATCTTGGTTTCTCCAAGACACTATAATATTCTTATGAACATTAATATTATAATGCACAAAAGAAAAAAATATTATCTATAAAACAAAAATGATAATCTTACAGAAATGTCTTGCATTGTTTTTACCTTGTCAAAAGTAAAGAGTGATTACATTAACCTAATAGTTCATTCTACATTACCCTAAGAAAAACCTTCTACTGATATTTGACTCATTCAAATCTGAAAGAACAGTTCATAAAATTAGATGATAATTATTGCCCAGCTGGTGTGGCTCAGTGGTTGAGTGTTGACCTATGAACCAGGAAGTCATAGTTCAATTCCTGGTCAGGGAACATGCCTGAGTTGCAGGCTTGATCTCCTGTGGGGGTGGTGGTGGGGGTGGTGGTGCAGGAGGCAGCAGATCAATGATTCTCTCTCATCATTAATGTTTCTATCTTTCTCTCTTCCTCTCCCCTTTTCTTTGAAAAAAAAAAAAAAGGATAATTACTGAACTCATAAGCCAGGCTAGGGTTAGGAAAACCCTCTCCCCCTGATAGTCACTTCTTCGTGTCTGGCTCTGTGATGAAAAACATTAAGATGTCTACTGCTTGGTTGTTCATCAAAAATGAAGTTGTGATGTCAATCAAGTTGTTGGTTACACAAAGCATATTCTTTTAATTTAATAATTGCTGGGGAATAGAGGGGTCGCTGCACAAGGAGTAAAGTATTGTAATAACAATGTAAAATAAGATTTTTAACCAAATTATCTTAACAGCCAGGTTTGATTTTTTTTTTAAACATTCTCAACACTGTAGAAAACCTTTTTCTTGTGCTAAACCAAAGAACAAGGATATCATTCCGAGATAGTAAAAGAAGTGAAAGGCAAAGCACATGAGTTGCTTTAAACGAGATAAAAGTAATCTCTATACCACTGTTTTAGTTGCCTGATTACAGAGAAAGCAAAAAAGAAAGCAAAAAAAAAAATCTGTTTCTCATAGTCATCAATTGGACCAGGACTGAATATTAATGCACTTTTAACTTACTTTAACTTGAAAGTCACGGGTATTTTGCAGTTATCACTACTCATAAAAAATTTGCTTATATCTTGTGTCCATAGTAAGTATGCATTTTTTTTCTGAATGTCTACACTTCTACCTATGTAACCCTAAAGCAATGCTTAGAATGCCATTAAATCAGAATATATATCCCTTCAAAGGGACAGAGATAACTCTATAGATTAGTTCAGCTTATAAGTAGCAGGATGAAAGATGATAGATAGATGATAGATAGATACATGATAGATAGACAGATAGATAGATAGATGATAGATAGATAGATAATGTAGTCTAATCCATCTTTGAATGAAGATTCTCAGCTGTCCCATCTTGAGACAGACTCTCT